TTTTTTCTTTTTTTATTTATATTGTTTATCCTATTTTTTGCCTATAAATACACTTTATTTTTACACTTTTCCTACACCAAAAATTTAACACTTCTCTTACACAAAAAATTAGCAATTGCTCATTTTTGAAAAAAAAAATGAATCCCAATAATAGGCAAAACTTTCAAAATTTTTCAAGTTCTAATCCTACTAATCCTGATGAATTTTCACAAGCTCCTTATCCTGCACAATTTTTTCCACAATTCCCATCAAATTTTCCTTTTATGCAACAATCTCAAAATTATCCACTGTCTGGCAATATTCAATATTCACAATATCCTCCACAAGCTTTATTTCAGAACCCACCACCTGAATATTGGCAGTACATAAGTAGTCAAAATCTGGTGCAATCTTCTCCGCAACAATCGAGTCAATCTTCCAGATCTCAAATGAGGAAAGAACTCAATACTCAAACTTACGTTCCGGAAACACAATTGCAGGATCGTGAAGCAGCTATAAATGTTGAAAAGCCAAGAAACACACGTGTTGCTGCTGAGGGCCGGAAAAAAACGTCCACAATGGACAACGGAGGAGGACGTGCTATTGGCAAAAGCTTATGTGACAATAAGTGACGACCCTATTACCGGTAATAATCAGAAGGCCGAAGCGTTTTGGGTATGTGTTACAAAATATTATAATGAAAATACACCTTCTGATTATATTTCTGGAGATTTGAATATGATAAGATCTCACTGGCATAATACAATTCAAAAAAAGGTGTATCAGTTCAATGAGTGCTATAACAGTATTTACGGTGTGTATCGAAGTGGTTGTAGTGATGAGGATATAATAAATCGGGCTTACGAAAAATATCGTAGTGAGAGTGATGGTGTAGCCTTCAATCTTGAACATGTGTGGAGAATCCTAAAAGATCGTCCTATGTTCACTCCACAATCTTCTAATGATATTTTTGTTGAGAGAAAAAAAAATGAGGATTGATGAGTCTGGTGCCAGCAACACTTCATCAAACGGGGATGCGAGCATTGATCTAGATGAACTTCATGAAGTGGCTCGCCCAATCGGACAGAAGGCATCAAAACGAAAGGCCAAGGGCAAAGGAAAATCTAACCTTGATGAGATGACCGCAGAATACAACAACATGGTTAAGCACCTTGCTGAGTTAACAAGCTTGAAAAAAGCTGAAGTTGAAGTTAAAAAAGCAACACTTGAGGAAAAGAAGCAGAGGAATCGTCGAAAAGACTATGATATTTTAATGAGGGACACAAGTCACATGACCCAAAAGCAACGTATTACTCATGAGAAAATGTGCCAAGTAATTCGAGAGAAATGGAACTTTTAGACTTCGCATAATCTATTTTAATTATCCTTGTAATTTTGTATGTTGTAATTTGCAAAAATTGAATTTTCAGCTTATATTTCATTTACGTTTTTCTTGTTATTCAAAGCAAACTCACATATTTTATTCAAAGAAAACTCACAATATTTAAAACAAACTCACATATTTCCTAGTCAAAAAAATGAAGCTTCCTCACAATTTCCTAGTCAAAGGAAGGGAGCTTCCTCGTAAGTTTCTGGTCAAATGAAGGGAGCTTCCTCGCAACTTCATCAAAAGAAGCATTAGTTTGGCTATAAATACCCCATTTTGTATCCCATTTTGTATCCCATTCCAAGTGAAAGAAAAAGAAGAATCCTCACAAAATGTCTCAAAATTCATATAGATCCGAGTCTAATTCTTCATCATCCACCGATAGTGAAGATGGTGAAAACACTAACGATTTAGAAGTTGAAATGATTTCATCAATCGTTCAACGAAGCCACGAGTTACTTCAAGCATACCAACATGAAACTGAAGTTCGTAGAAGGAGAAGGTTCATCCAGAGAAATCGAGAAGATGGACATAATAGACTTGTAAGTGATTATTTCTCTGATCATCCTGTCTACCCGGATCATATATTTTGTAGGCGTTTCTGTATGCGAAGAGAATTATTCCTTCGAATTGTGAATGCACTTCAGACACAATCATCATATTTCCAGCAAACCTTTGATGCATCAGGAAGACAAAGTTTGTCACCACTTCAAAAATGCACAACAGCCATTCGTCAGTTGGTTTATGGAGTCCCAGCTGACCACCTTGATAAGTATTTACGTATGGGTGAGTCAACTGCTATCAAATGTCTTTTTAAATTCTGTGAAAGTGTGGTTCAAATTTTTGGTGATGAATATTTGAGAAGACCGAACAGTAGCGATGTTCAAAGACTCCTCCAAATGCATGAAGAAAATCATGGTTTTCCGGGTATGCTTGGAAGCCTTGATTGTATGCATTGGGAATGGAAAAATTGTCCAGTTGCTTGGAAAGACCAATTTACAAGAGGGCATGAGTCTCCTACGATTGTCCTTGAAGCGGTTGCTTCACACGATTTGTGGATATGGCATGCCTTTTTGGTGTTGCAGGATCACGTAATGATATCAATGTATTGTATGAATCTCCTCTATTTAATAATGTGTTGCAAGGAAATGCACCAAACACTCATTTTACTGTCACGGCACGCAATATGCAAATGGGTATTATCTTACAGATGGAATATATCCAGAATGGGCTACGTTTGTAAAGTCTTTTCCTTGCCCGTCAGATCCTAAAAGAAAGTTATTTAAAGAAAAACAAGAAGCTGCTCGAAAGGATGTGGAAAGAGCATTTGGGGTGCTTCAGTCTCAATGGGCAATTGTAAGAGGTCCTGCTCGATTTTGGTATAGAAGAAAACTGAAATTTGTTATGTTGACATGCATCATTCTACACAATATGATTGTTGAAAATGAAGGAGTTGTAGTAACAAATTGGCACAATGACGAGGATGAAGAGCCCGCACAACCTGTCCAGGGTTCAAATCGAAAATTTCAAAATTATATCCGTAGAAGTTCAGAGATACGAGATAACACAGTTCATCATCAACTTCGTGCCGGTTTAGTTGAGCATATTTGGACTCATTTTAGCCACTAAAAAAATTATATTATGTAATTGTATTATTTTTTTCTTGTGTAATCTTAATTTAAGTTGTTTTGGTATTGTAGTGTGCTTTTATTTTCATGTATTTAGAATTTATTATTATAATTTCTAAAATATTAATTTTTTATTTTTATTGAGAATAGAATATTAAAATTGATATTGAATGAATGGATATAATGGGTCCCATGTTTGTATTTAAATAAATGTGTAGAGATGTGAATATGTGTTTAAATGAAGAGATAATTAATAGAAAGGTGATGTGGAAATGATGTAGAAGAGAGATAGTGTACTTTTTTTATTAAATGAATGAAAAAAAATATTAATAAACGCGGATGCCCTTATCTTTATTATTTCTTTTATTTATTCTTATTCCTAACATGTTCCCATCCCCTTGGAATCTTACTACGTATTTTGCTCCTGAACGTATTAAGAACTAATGGCCTATTAGCCTCCTCAACGTGGTGTACAAAAAGGTGGATTAGTTTATTTTGGCAATCAAATCAAAAAATTCATGCTAATTCACTGAGCGGGATAATGTTTGAAATTCAAAATTCAAAAACAGCCCATTAACTAAAACGAAATATAATTCCGAAAAAGAAAAAAAAAAACAAGCATTTTCCTCTCCCACCGTCTACCTCAACTGGTATCTCCTCAGGTCTCTCTCTCTCTCTCTCTCTCTCTCTCTCTCTCTCTCTCTCGCAAACGATCTTGATCAATTTCAGTTGCAGAAATAATTTTGTTTTGAAATTTTACCAACTATTTAGACTGTATTTCGAGATCATCTTGAGATTGCGTGTCTGGAAAATTGATTTTATCTGTGAAATCCGAAGATAATGGGTCAGATCCAGTACTCCGAGAAATACTTCGACGATGTCTATGAGTACAGGTGCTTTTTCGATCAATCCAGATTTTTGTTCTCCGCATAATTTCTGATCGCGGCAATGTTTATTCCTTTTGTTAAATTTTTTGGGTGTATCATCTTGATTCTTATTTACTTTGTTTTAGGCACGTGGTTCTTCCACCGGAGGTCGCAAAGCTGCTCCCCAAGAATCGCCTGCTCTCAGAGGTAAGTTTTTTGGTATCCTTTTGCATATCAACATTTAGGGTTAGGGTTTCGTGTTGATTATTTTGCCATTGCTTAGGAGGTTAGTGAGTAATTGGCCTTTTATCTTCAGTGTTTCTGTGTAGGGGTTTTGGATTCCATGTTTTTGGAGAGTGCCTTATTTAATTGTGGCTGTTGTATGTTATAATTGGTTGTGATCTCTGAGCTATCGAAGGATGGGAAAAGTTAACAGAAAAAAAAGTCGCCAACTTTATTGTTTTAAATCTTGCATTGAAATGAACTATGTTTTTGGCATTTTGTTATATCTTATTCTGGTTTCTTTCTATTTAGGATTCAATTTGGATCTTTTCTGGAATTCGGTACTCGTCGTGTCTTTGTGAATAACCTTTATGCGTGTGTCTGTGGGTGTGCGTGTGTTTGTGCGTGCTCGTGCTTTGGTTGAATAAAGGGATTATAGAAAAGTGCCTCGTTTTCGAATTTCAAATGCAAGAACACCCATCGATTGTCTTTTATTTTTTGGTCGAAACTGCCATCTTTTACCGTACATTGTGACTGAAATTCTCCTTCAATTGGTTTCGACCATTTATTAACTGCTTAAAGACATGCTGAAACATCTCTGATTTTTAACATTTGTGCTGATTTTTCCATGTTTCAACCGTTTTGTTTTGAATATCAATACATTCTGTTTTTGACCTCTTGAACGAATCAATTTTTGTCCTGTATTTCTGTTGGTTCCATCTAAACTCCAAGATGGCTGTTTCGAAGGGAAAAAAAAAGATGAATTGTATTTTTGCAAATGTAGTAGTTTTCCATGAATTTTTTGAATGAATCCACTAGTAAGATTCTCTTTTCAACTAACAATCACTATGAGTTGAAATTTCCTATTCAACCTGTCAATGTAATTTCCTAATTTTCCTATAAGTGTACTTGTTGTGACACACACCATCAAATGCAACGATATAGAAACTTAAATTCGGGGAAAAATACAAATCCCAAATTAAACAAGGTTTTTATACACGTACATTCTCTGTTTCACATCATTTAGTAATTTATCTTTCTTGTGTATTTTCCTTTGCATGGTCATCGATTTAGAATGAATGGCGTGCGATTGGGGTTCAACAAAGCCGAGGTTGGGTTCATTATGCTGTTCACCGGCCAGAGCCACACATCATGCTCTTTAGGAGGCCGCTCAACTACCAGCAGCAGCAGCAGTGATGATTGGTTATTATCCATGTCTGGATATCAAGAAATTTTAAACTTCAGTTAAAAAACTTGTGTTAGTTCACAAATCTTATGGAGAACTATACCAGCTTGCAGTTTCACACTCTTAAGCACTTCATGTGTTCTCTTTAAATGGGAATTGGTTTGCTGAGGATTATGTGTCTGTGTTTGCGTGTGTTCAAAGATTTCCTGGTAAAAGTATTACAATCCTTTTCGCTGATTCTACATTTGATGTGTTCGTTTTCGTAGTTTTGGGCTTCTAGTTGTCATTCATATTCTGGATCTTGCTATGTGCATTTGCTTATATTCTGTTGCACTCCTGGTGGATGGATACTGGATATCTGAGTCTAATTTGAACCGTTTCTATTATATTTCATTGCTTATGTTTTATTTATTTGTATGCTCATTTTGTTGTTTACAGAGTTATGGTAAGAAAGATGCGATAAAGCCAGGAGAACTCATCGTCTATATTGTGTTCTTGTCGTCTTTCAATTTTATGAATCCATTGTAGCACCTCAACAGCGAACATATTTGAGTAGTCACTGTGGGTGGTCTGAAGCAATAGGTCAAAAGAGTAGAAAAGGGAAGAGAAGGTGGAAAATGAGGGGAAATAAAAGATGTCCAAAAAATCTTAACGCATAACTAAAGAGGCATCATTAGTCAAATTTGATATCAATTCATGTACTCAGTTAAACTTGAAAAAATGAGGGATATTTTGCAATTTTCCATGTAATATACGAAATCTTTATTTATATTTCTTTTCCTACTTTGAAAGTAAGTAGGGTTATTTATCCGCCAAATACACTTGTTGAATCGAGCAACATAGTCCTTCAGGCTCTCCTCAGCGTCGTGGACGATGCTCGTGATTGACTTTTTTGAGATCATGTAGACTTGAGACCGGATAAAATGAGATATGAAGGTCGACCTCAACTGTTTCCATGTTGAGATGGAGTGAGGGTAAAATGAGTGGTAGGGCTGAGCACGGGACTCGGAGATTACCAAACCATTCCGAAAACCGAGCCGAATTCACACGGAATTGAAAAATATCCGTTGACTGTTTGACTTTATCCGAACTGAACTATACCGAAAAAATATTTGGTATGGTTCTAGAGATTTATAAAATATCCGAATTGAGAATCGAACCGAAAAAAAACATACCGAACCGAGAAACAAACAAAAACCGATTTTAATTCATAATATTCATATAAATGTAAAATTTCATCTTATTCTTTCTTTTCATCTTTGTACATATTTGTATTTAAAGTTGAATTGCAAATAAAATTCATATATATTAGGTATATGTTCATAAACAGTCATATACTGTTATATTTAAAATTGAATTGTAGAAATCCTCCAATATTGAATGTCAATATAATTAAATGATTGAAAAAAATAATTATCTTGTTTCTTACTGTACGTGAGTCATTAGTTTGAAAAGATATTAAATTAATATACTTCTCCTATCACAAATTTTGGTAACCAACTTGTCAAATGTTATTAAAAAAATCATTAATTATAAACCAAATTCAAATTCAGAATGTTTGCCGGCCTTTATGAAGAAAATCATTCACAAATTTGGAGGGAAATATTTATTTAAAGATGATATATTTTTCAAATAAAAATAAATTGATAGTATCTATTAGCTTAATAATAATACTACGACACGTCGACACCCGCTGCTCGAAGACGGCAAATGTTCAATGCTTTTTGGTATTACACATGTATTCAAAATTCTTGTATGGAATTGTGATTTGTTATTTATGAGATTTGTATGTGGAATCATGGGACGTGAACTTTTGGAAATTGTGTCTTAGTAATACCTCATCTACAATTCATTATTTCATGCTTTAAACATATTATTTAAATCTTTAATATGATGAAGTATTGATGAATGTTGGATTATTTTAAAGCATATAAAATTTAAAATATAACTAGGTAGTTGATATAGGATATTATACCTACAAGGCTAAACCGGTAAATAGACCGGTTAAGGAAGTCGTATTATGAGGAAGTCAAGGAAATCGAGCAGTTAACCAGTCGACCAAGCAAAGTTGTCGACCGAACTATCCTTCGACCAAATGAATGATCGAGCAGTTCATTCGGCCTCGATAGGTCGACCACTTCGAGGACTTGACACCACGTGGATCGGCCTAGTCATAGGCGCGTGAAAGAGCCTCTAACAGAATTCCAGGAGAATATTTACCCCATGTGCAGGGGGACACGTGTCGAGAAGGCAGTGGTGGATAGCGATAACCACCTCTGACAGCCTACCCCATGTGCAGGAGGACACGCGTCCAAAGAGGATTGGTGCAGGCGATAGTGGCGACAGCTACCTCTGACACACGCGTATGGTGTGTACGGACGGGTAGTTAGGGCAGACAACTCATCAAATCCGGGCAGTCCTAGGTCAGGTATCTCACCCCTATATAAAGGGGGTGAGCTTTTCTTCCTCAACACGATCATTCTATTGCTTACTCTTGAGAATTGATTGAACATACACTGACTTAAGCTTCGGAGGCTCTTCACCGGAAAACCCCTCTGGTGTGAGAGTTCTTTGTAGGTGCACGACGTTCAACCGGCGAGAAGGAAGGCGATCATTCAAGTTCCAGCCGGTCGGGAAGTTTTGTGTTGCCATTTTATTCAGAAAAATAAAAAATAATTATGAATCTACAGAGATTCGTACCGAACCAAACCAAATCGAGCCGTTCCGATAATCCTGAATATCGAACCAAGCCGAAAAATAAAAATCTCTGAACCGAACCATCATGATTTTTCTGGTACAATTTCGAAGATCAAATGTATTGATCTCTGAATTTTGATACGGTTCTGGAGATTTGTCCACCTCCAAACCGTACTCAACCCTAACAAGTGGTACCATCTCTGATCTTTGGGCCCCAGGGTTAGTGAGAACATTTTGTATATGAGGGCATCACCATTCCCATGCAAATCTATCCATGATGTATAAAGCCCTAGGCATGAGTCCGGGTTGGAGGTGCCATCATAGGGACCAATCTGAGGTATTTTGATTTTGTCTGGTAGGGGGTTGCGCTGGACGTTGGATGATAGTGAGGCTGCGTCAGCAACGCGGTCACTTGAAAACAGCGGGGGTGGCAAAGATGCCTTTCCCCATACTTCTGTTGAGCTTCAAGCTCGACGATTCTCTTTCTGAGGGCTGCGACCTTGTCAGAATTGTGTTTGGTCAATCTATCCCTATGGATATTTTGTCTAAGATCCTACTCGACCTTTTTCCTTCCCAGTCGAGTAAAAACTGACGGATTGCGAGAGTTTTCCTGAGTTTGGTGACCGATTTTATTTCTTCGATTTCCTTCGTCTGGGTTGGGTCGATCTTTCCCTCTCGGTTTTTCATCGCACCGTCCGTATATTGGGTTAGACTGGGTCGGCCTTAGCCCTTATCTCCGACGGGGTTTGTATCCTTTTTCGCCAGTATTTTGAGTATGTCGATCTCTAGAGGTGGCGGCGGCGGCGCATGTAACGCCGATGACAAGACTCGTGTCATGAGGCTCGCCATGCCCTTGAAAAACTCATGTCAAGAGTTTATAGAAAAAATAACTGCTCAAGTCAATTCATAATCGAAGAATTACCATATGCTTGCAAAGCATCTACTATCTTCCTCACATTCCAATTGTCAAGTACCAGTGACAAAGGTCACCAATATTTGGTACATAGATTTGTTGTTGGACGCTTTCAACTCTCTTTATTATAATAATTCAATTTGAGAGAAGACTCTCGACACTTCGTATCCCACAACCAACATTTTACGTGCACATCATGGCCAACTTTAATAATTTATTTCCCACTCACCAAAAAATAATTTTAAAGAAAATAAATATACTACGAATATCTATTTGATACGTGTAGAATTTTCTACAAATTTAAATCAACTTGAATTAAATATTTTAGCCATAATAAAATCAGTTATAGTCGGGTCAAACCGAATTTTATATAATTGGCTTTCTAACAAAATTTTTGTTGTATTGGAAAATAAAAATTTACACACAAAGAATTGTTAAAAGTTCCAATTCCAAAAATAACTTTTCTTAGACGAGTTGATGTTTTGTTGACAAATAAAGGTCCACGCATGATCGCTTTTCGCTTGTAACAAGGCGATAATACGGAGATGCACATAATGACATAACATTTCATTTACCTTAATTCTCAATTAACTTTGCATCAAGAGGAACTTGACCAAACACTCTCATCTAATTCTTTTTCTTTTTTTTTTTTCTTTAGTAATTAATGTTAATTATTATTAATTAATTAACTCCAAAAATCACTTTCACAATTCTAAGAATGATCCCCATATTTAGAGCCAATTTGATGGATATATTAGGTCGTAAATATTTATATCGTATCAAAAGAACAGAAATATTTATATCGTAAATATTTATATCGTATCAAAAGAACAAAAATATAAAAGAGAGATCAGAAGACCAAGAGAGAAAAGTAAGAGTTGTTATTATCTTATTTAGTAATCTCAACTATATATAGGGAATTACTATAGTCGTGTGATAGAATCATTTTGACAGTTTTTTCAACCGTAAATTATCTACACTGTACTAACCTACACGTGTATCTAACAGCTAAAAACACTGACGAAATGATTCTATCATGAGATTGTAATTATTCCCATAATATATATTTATAGACATTAGTACCATGTACATTAATTTGGCCTAATGAGTCTGACTTTATGTCATTATAAGACTTACATTTAGATAATGTCCACAGAATCAATTAAATATCATAATATTTATATGAATTTTATATATATGTCAATACTGCAATGAGGGCCATTTCACTAACATTCAGGCAGCTGGCCACCAAAAATTTACTAATCAAAACATTGAAAATTTAATTTATAATTAAACTAAATTAAGTTAAAAATAGATATTTTTTTTTTTGCCCCCTAACTTCTTCGTACAATTATATCCCACTATAGTTAATTAAAAAAGAAAAGGCATTATTTCAGGTAATTATACGAAATCCTAACGCACTCAAACAATTTGTGATAACAGACTAGTGTACTTTGCCTACCACAGCACATTGTTTTTGTCTTTAAAGTTTAAACAAGTGTCGATTAAAAATGGTGAGATAGAATTGCAGGGGTAGATATCTACTTGATTTTCTTGGTATACATAATTACGGTAAATGTTACGTTCTCGTTACGGAATCATCTCGTCGAGATCTCGTCGAGAATTTTAATCGTTGGATACATTAACAGTTAAAACACTCGACGAACTAATTACGCAACGGACTATAACATTTTTACATAATTAACGTACCATTGAATTTGCAAAAGGAAAGTCATTATAATTAATATAATAGGACAGTACTCTCATATCTGACTTTTTGTACAAGTAGTTGACCACTTGATTTTTGTCGTGAGGCGTCCACTAAGTGCAATTTGAGGTCCTGGATTCTGATTTGGTTTTATTTTAATTTAATTTAATTACTTTGTTGGCATTAATTTATATATCTTTTTTATTTATTTGTTTTGCATTGTTTTTCTTTGGCTACTCATTCTTTTGCATGTAAAGTTGGATTATATTGCATTACGTATTATGCATTGATAACACTTGTTAATTAATTAATGTTAATTAATTAAGTCTAAAGGTTGATGCAATTTAAATATGTATACTTTCAAACTGAAATATCATATTTCAAAAATTATAAATATATTTCGATACTATTTCAAGTTATATTTGCTATTAATAAGGGAATATAACACATCATTAATTTGCATATATATAAATTATCAATATTTTCTAAATTACATATTTTTTTTTTTTAACTAATGCAATGTAGTTAGTAATTTCATTTGTTATATTGATGTACTACGTAACACCAAAGTCACCTAACTAGTCCAGATGTGACTAACTTTACAACTATCAACAACAACTATTGAAATGGTGTCGAATAATTCGAGTGTTCAGAATAACTGCTTAAACACAAGAACACGGTGTCGAAAATACTTGTTAGAATTTGGTTGCTCTCCTACGACGAATTTTAGACAATTAATTCAAAATTTTAACTAGAAAGTGATAACAATATGTTTGATGGGAGATTCTACGATCCCGAACCATTCCGTTGGAGTTTGTAACCGTTAGATCAACTATCCACGACGATTACATGATGATGTAAACAGTTACAAATCTCGACGGAATGATCCCGTAACGGAACTATAGCATTTTCCTTGTTTGATTGATTGATGCCCTTATGAATCCACCATTACAATCAATTTACTCTTGTCCAATTAAGTCAACAGAAAGTAAGAAAAAAAGAAAGAAGAAAAAAGTAGTCTTCCAACTTTCAACTCATCTAATCTAATAATAATAATAAGTAATAATAACAGTACACACTCCACAAATATGACCATTAATTGGCCAAGCACTCTTATAAATACCTTCACCCCATTCATCATATTACCCATCACTCACAACACAAAATTAAAAGCAAAAAACACATAAAAACTAATACTAGCATATATATATTCAAATATTTTTTTTTTCCTTTGGCGCCTTAAACAATAAGCAAGGAATGGCAGTACCACCGGCATCAAGAGTGGTACTTTTGTTCCGATTATTCTACCCTCTCCTTCTCCTCCTCCTCCTTTCATCCCTGCTCCTCGGAGCCGAAGCAATCTTTAGAAATCCGAGGGCGGGCGCCCTCAGAAGCTCTAAGCGGCCTTCGGCTTTCGGAGGGCGTGGTCGTAACATCACCAGACCGCCCCTTCCACGTAGTTTTAAAATATATTCTTACCCACAACCCCTCGACCACTTCAACTTCGGGCCAGATGATTACGATACTTTCAGACAAAAGTTCGTGATGAACCGTGAATATTGGGCCGGACCGAATAGCACCTCCCCGATATTAGTTTACCTCGGGTCCGAGGGCGCACTTGACCCGCGAGATGCTGGCTTCGTTATCGACTTGTGTCAAAATTTATCCTCTCTCTGTGTCTTCATTGAGGTAAAATTTTTGTTTCTTTTTTTTTTTCATAGTTGTTAGATTCCAATTATGAATATATATTTATTTGTATGATTTGGTCCAGCATCGATTTTACGGAGCTTCAAGTCCTTTCACGTCGATGGATGATGTCCTGGAGAACAAAACGATTCGTGGCTTTTTCAACCCGGCTCAAGCTTTAGCCGATTATGTCGAGATTATTTTGTATGTAAAGAGAGTGTTTAACGCACCTCATCTTCCGGTTGCCGTGTTTGGATCATCATATGGAGGACGTAATAAGCAATTCGAATCCATATTATTTTTTTTTTCCAGTCAAAAGAAGTTAAATTTGAGTTCATTACTATATAAATATTCTATCAAACACATTTTTTTTTTTTTTTTTTNTTTTTTTTTTTTTAATTTTTATTTTTCAGTGTTAGCTGCGTGGTTTCGGCTCAAATATCCACATATAACTGCGATGGCCGTAGCCTCATCGGCGCCCATGTATTATTTCGCCAAGACAACTGATCCCCACGCATACGACGAGGTTATAACCGAAGACTTTAGGGTACGTAAGACACATACTTATTTCATTCTGACCGCTTTAATTCATCTTTTATTAACTGATTAATTCAACATTTTTGAAATAATATATATCCTTCAAACTAAATTTTCTTTCGCCCTTTTAACTTGTAGAACGTTAGCGACCATTGCTACCAAACCATTCGGAATTCTTGGGCCGTAATTGACAAAGTAGCGTCCGAGCCTGACGGCCTCGCCAATCTCACCCAAAAATTCAAGACTTGCGCGTAATTTCCTTATTAACAAATGCTCCCATTGTAATTATACAATGTCGTTTTAGTGTTTTTGTTCCGAATCATATATTAACGTAACTAGGCATCAATGCAGGCAATTGAATGAGAGTAGTCAGCTCAAAGGATTCCTCGTGTCAATGTACTCGTACGCAGCTCAATATGACGACCCGCCAAATCCCCCAGTCGATTTGATTTGTAAAGGTATAGATGATGCCTCCAAGGAGACAGACGACGTGCTCGACCAAGTGTCTGAGGGAATGGTCTCTTATTTTGGGAATCTGACGTGCTACGACATGAAGCATTTTGATGCTCCATCCGAAATCAACGATGGATGGAGTTGGCAAGTGAGTTTTTTTTTTTTTTTTGTTTGTCTCGATAGCTTTATTTCAATTTCCGAGGTAAAAACAAAACAAACCAAAACAAAACAAAACGAAACAAAACCGAATACAAAGAATGAAGAAGAATGGGTTATGCAGGAGTGTTCCGAGCTCATGATGCACATCGGGCAAGGTGGGAACGGGAGTTTGTTCCAAGGGAACCAACCTTACCAATTGGGGCGTCAAAAGAGACGGTGCATGAACATGTTCAATGTCTCGTCCAGGCCTTACTTGATCACGACTCAGTATGGAGGCCGCGTAAGTTTGAATAAATTTTAATGATCGAGATCATCATATGTGTTGTAATAATTAGTAACTATTTCTTAGCTTTGTTAATTAATTAAGATTATTATGGCTGCTAATCCATCTTGCTCTCTTAATTGCAGATTCTTGAGTTTGCTCTAAAGCGTTTTGGGAGCAACATTGTTTTCACTAATGGCCTGAAAGACCCATACAGTCCTGCTGGGTAAATGAGCAAACATATATACACATTTCATATTTATTTATTTAGAGTGTTTATGCATTTTCACTAACTTCTCTTGATTGTGAATTAGGGTTTTGGAAGACATTAATGAGAGTATTGTTGCTATAACTACTGAAAAAGGTGTGTTAATTTCCATAACTTCTTGTTTTTTTTTTTT